CATCTGTTCCGGAAGTTCCGAACAGCTGATCCAACCCAATAAGGCCAATAAATAAAACTTTACTTTGGATGACAACTTGCGCTGAGTAATATAAAGCTTTTGTACAATTATACGAAATCAGTTTTTGCCAATTTTTGCTTTCCAAATGCGATGCACCTCAAAAAACTTGAAAAAAGGGAAAAAGCTATAGATCCAAATATTTTTTGTATGAGAATGGCATCTTCTTGCTGTTCCAACTTGCTGAAAGCAAAAATTGGCACTTTACCAAAATGAGCGATAAATGCAAAGCAACAAAAATTTTATACAAAAATGTACATTTCCAAAGCTATCTATTCTACGGTTGAGCAGAACAGTTCGGATGTTCCGCGATCATATGAGAATTCGATTTGTTTGCTACCAATACGTACAAGCACTTCTCCTCTGCCGGCAACGTTCTAAAGTTAGAAAAAAACTTTAGACAAAAAGATGATAGCAGTGATGCATTTTTCATAATAAAAAACGAAAAAAAGAACTTTGCAGCGCCGTGAATTATTTGAAAAAATTATAAGTTGCTAAACCATATCTGCTCCACGCAACAATTTGAAGGACTTATGCCGCGCTGCGGCGGTGTCCGCAACTGCGCCTATTTCACGGTCTCAAAACCAATCATTCTTGTTGCTTCATTCGATCGAAAACTTTAAAAGTTGTAAATATTCGAAATTTGCCTACCTCAAAAATTTCCCGCAAAGATCGGCTCATAGTCCTCAATGAGAATGTGAGTTGTTTGACTTCATCCCTTAGAAACTGCTAAAATTCTGGATTTTACATGAAAAAAATCAATGAATCAATAAATTCCACATAAAATGAGTTCGTATCCCACACCTCGATGTAATCCTTGAGGAGTGTGGTGAACTCCGGTCGAAGCCGTTCACAGGTGATGAAAACATAACGGACAGCCGAGTTTAGTAGCCGCGAAAACTCGTCCAAGAGAATGTCGGCAACATATACCAGCTTGTCACCGTCATCAAACAACCTTTGCGGGATTAGAGATTCGCTAAAAAAGAAGTTTTAAACAAAAATTAATGTTAAAATGGAGGAAGATTACTCACC